TGCAGAATCCTATAATTTGCAATTATTCTTTTTTTCTATTCTATTTTCTAAATATTCTTTTTTTGTAAAGCCTCTTTTGTTTGATTTACTTAATTTGATTGATGATGCCCTTCTAGTGGAGTGAATTCCTTTTTGTGAATTCCTGTGAAGTGAATTCCTTTTTTTCTCACAAAATCCGATCACTTATGTGAGAAAATTGAAGAATTCAGTGTGGTAGAAGGGGTGTGTTTCTAAATTTTCTACATTTTCTAAATTTAACCACTTCAAAGTAGGATTATTATCTAGAATTATCTAATAGATAAGGATTTTGGCAGCTAGAGTAAGCCCTGAAGCCGGCAGGCAAACAAAAGTAGATGCGAAGCTTGAAAAAAAAAGAAATCGTCGTCGTCGTCCTCAACTCCATTTTGAGTGTGTTTTCAAGTTGACCCTCGTCCTCGACCCCTCGACCAACTTTCGACGCCTCGTTCTCAGCTCTATAGCTTTCTTAAATTTCTCATTGATTAACAAACTTTCGAATGTTTGAATCAATGAATCAAATGATAGTTTTAAAAGAGAACGATAGTCATTTTCCGTCATTTGATTCATTTCTTTGATTCGAAATGAATCAAAGAGATGAATCAATGAGAAAAGTTTCTTTTTAGAAAAGTTTTTATAGTTTTTTTCCAGGCTTTTTCGAGTATTCTAAAAGTTTGTATGCCTAAAAAAGGGAATTGAAATAAACGAGAGTGTTGAGGGAAATTGAATCGAATTCCTATTACCTAAATCTTTTCAATAGATCGTGTACTTTGTGCTGTGCTTAAACTCGTAAATAAACACACTTTCTCGTGCACTCCTTTCGCGTTTTCTTTCTTTTTCTTTAATCAGAAGAAAATCAAGAATTTCCTTTACAATCTGATGTCTTGAAGTCATCTTTAAGTCAATTGAAAGCTTTAAAGAAACACTTAAACTTTAGGAAATCAAAGCCGAGCCTTGCGTGTCTTTCTTTCTTCTGTCAATTCTTTCACATCTTTATCCAAATCTCTTCCTTTCCCTCTTCCTTTCCCTCTTCTCTTCCCTCTTCCTCTCCCTCTTCTCCTCCCTCTTCCCTTCCTTTGCCTTTTTCCCCAAAAAAGGAGTGAACTCAATTGGGAGAATCTGTGTCCAATCTTCTCGAAAAGATCCTTCCAACTTTCTTTTCTTTTCTTCTTTTCTTTACTCAAAGATTTCCCAGCTGATAGTATTATTTTTGGAACTTGTTTTTCCCTTTTTCTTTTGTTGTTTTCTCGTATTGATTAAAACAATCTTATCGACTTTATGCTTACTGGAATTTTTGAAAGATGGAAAGTTAACTCCCCCTAGAGTAGAAGAGATTGTGCATCAGGTGCAATGGTTAGCATAGTTGCTCGGTAAGCGAGCAACTATGCTAACCAGCAACTATGCAGGTCGCGGATACGAGTCTCAGCAGCGCACAAGTTTTTGATTTGCCCTAGTTTCTAAAATTTTAAAACAACACCTATCCTATATTATTCAGTTTTTCAAAGGCTTTTCGAATCTGCTTTTAGTTCTTTTCTAAATAACTTGTAAACGGAATTTAGCTTTATAGTTTTAGTTACACTGCTGGACAATGAAATATTGGATCATCGACTTTTTTAGCACTAGAAATTCGCGTTTACAAGTTTAAGCACAAGTAAAATGTAGAGAAATGTATAGAGAAGCGATCGTCACTTTCGCGCGTCTATAACTCCCTTGTCTTTACCGTATTTCTAAATATTAATATTACCATTGTGTAGCCCTTGAAAAGAGCTTTCAGAAAATGTATAACACTAATAGTTTAAACTCAAAGACAAGGGAGTTACAGACGTGCGAAAGTGACGATCGTTTTTCAAATATGATATTTCATTGTCCAGTAGTGTATCTCTTTGTAAGGCTTCCTCACTTCTTTTAAACATATGAGCCTATGGCGGAGAGGTAGTGCTTCCAGTTACAAAGCTGTTGGTCCGAGTTTTTGGTTCGAGTTCGATTCCCTCATCCACAAAAATTTTAAATTTTTAAACTAATCCCTCTTTTTCTTTATTATATGGATTTTCTATCAAAAAACAATCAAAAAAAATGGTTAAAGAACTTGAATTTTCTGAATTTCTAGTTCATATTCTCTTTCGGTTAGAGATATTGGTAAAAGAAAGTTAATGTTGTCGATGAGAGAATCGAACCCGAGTCGACGGCTTTGTAAACGAGAGTACTACCACTCAGCCACATGGACACGCTCTCGAGGCAAGCCAGGAAGCTTTACAAAGAGATAGGGAACAATTGGCAATTCACAATTTAGCACAATTGAAAAGTAGCATAAAATACATCAAATTGACAAGACAAATCCTATTTTTCTTTTCTTTATCTAATAGATAATAGTGAATGCATGTGTCTCTCAAATTTTTGAGAACAAGAGTCTTTTTTTTGGTCTCAGTGTTCTTTCATTTCCCCTAAAAGGATGGGCCAATCATTGGGAGCTGAGAGGTCCAAAAAAGACCCGAAAAGGACCCGAAAAAGGTCCCTATTCGATTCTAATAGCTTTTTTTGCTTACCTACCACCATTACTGCTTTTTATTACTGCCTGAGTTTTACTGAAATCGTTTATAATTAAATCTTTATTAAAGCAGAACTGGAATGAACTGGAATAGTGCTAGGAAAAGAAAGGGAAACGACCAAGCTAGATTCTGGATTGATTTAAATACTTGAATTTGTGCTGCTTTCATGACAGTGCTAGGAAACTAAAGAGAAACGGCCAAGCTAGATTCTGGATTGATTTAAATACTTGAATGTGTGCTCCTTCCAAATCACAAATCAAATCAAATCAAATCAAAGCACAAATCAAATCAAACAAATCTCAAATCTCTCATCTTTTATTCTTTCATAATTTCAATTAATTTCATATATTTTAATTGTAAAATTGAAAGCTTTAAATAATTTCAAAAAGCTAAGCATATATCAAAAATAAGTAATAGCTCAATGAATGTTCCATTGAAAATCGATTTTTACTTTACAAACAATCACAGCTTCTTGGTTTAATTACCCAATGCATTTAAGTTTATTTAGAGTTGGTTAATAGAGTCAAGCCAGATTGGGACCAAGCCAGGGATTAGACCAAGTTTGGCTTGCCACTTTCTCTGGCCCAGGTCCAACCAGGAGCAAGCTTAGGCTCAGGTTTAGGCTCAGGCTTGGCTTAGGCTTGGCTTATGCTCAGGCTTATGCTTATGCTCAGGCTTATGCTTAGGCTTAGGCTTAATTTGTTACTTTTGTCTAACCAAATCTATTCCCTAGATTCATTTTCTCTTATTTTATCTTTTTCATCTATTTTTATTCCCTTTCTATTAATTGAAATGACTTTTTCGTTCTTTTAAATCTTTTTTTAATCAAGTTCCTCCTCGAAATGACATCCATTCGCTTTTCTTTTCTCTTAAATGATTTGTTTTGCCTTTTGTACATCAAAATTGAGTCAATTGAGTGGAAAAGAAACGGGGAAAACGGGGAAAAGACCATTGTCTACAGATTGATCCACAATTCAGGCCACTTTTTAAAAACCAATCGCAACTATTTCGATTTGATTAGTTATAAACTAGAAACCCTGTCTTTTCGACTTACCTCGTTTATTTATTTTCTCATTTTTTTTCTGCCTTTTGCAAATAGGCGGCGAAAGGTGGAAAATTGAGAAAGGAACACGGGGAATGGGATTGGGAAAAGGAAAGGGGAAGGGTAGAGACACAGAGGGCCCTGGCCCCACTCCGGGGCTGGGCTAGTCCCAGGTCCCAGCCTGGGACCTCGTCATTACTAAAATTGTTTCAATACATTTACCATTAACCTTGTTTTCATTGCTTATTGTTTTCGGAATCATGATTTAATTAAAATCCGTACTAGAAAACATCTGGATGGTTTAATAGAGCCTTTTAACCAGATCAGAGTCGATTCAAGGCTAAGCCAGTCCCAGAGCCGGAAATCAGGACTGGCTTAGCCTTGGATCGGCTTAGAAATCAGGATTGGTTTGTAAACAGATGTAGAAGGGAATAGAAAGTGGATGTAGAGGGCTCTGAATCACTCAAATCTGGATCCAAGGCGGCTTCAAGTCAAGACTGTTTTAGCCAGCCTTTAGCCAGCCTCTAGCCAGCCTTTAGCCAGCCTTTAGCCAGCTTTTAGCCAGTCTTTAGCCAGCCGTTAGCCAGCCTTTAGCCAATCTTTAGCCAGCCAACTTCAGCCAGCCTTTAGCCAGCCTTTAGCCAGCCTTTAGCCAGCCAACTTCAGCCAGCCTTCAGCCAGCCTTTAGCCAGTCTTTAGCCAGCCAACTCCAGCCTGATCCAAGCTAGCTAGCGCTGGCTCAACTCCAGCGTAAACAGAACTAAAAAGAAATCGCGCTAGAGATCCAGTGGAACAGTTGTTAACCCCCTCCTCAACCCGATGTCCCCCTTTCAACTGATCCCTTTGCTTCTTTCCTCTAGAAAACTGCATAGATATGAGAGATTTCTCTACATTGTACACAAAACTCTCCGCTTTTCCCTCTTCCTTAAATCCATCACCCATCTCATCTTACTTTGTTGTTGCTTTCGAGATTTTCATAAGCTTTTCGTTTGATCTGAATTTAGCAAACGTTATTATTTAAAGAATATTATTGAAAGATTATTATTTAAAGGTTATTATTTAAAGGTTATTATTTAAAGGTTATTATTTAAAGGTTATTATTTAAAGGTTATTATTTAAAGGTTATTATTTAAAGATTATTATTTAAATTGTACTATTCTTTAGTTCAAAGATAGCTTTAAACTTTGATAATTTGAAAATTTCGAAATTTTTGATCTTCATGAACTTTCTTTGTTATTTATTTTTTCACCATTTTATCGCCTAAAACATTTTCTCTTATTTTTTTTTAAAAAACTTTGTCTGTACATTTTTCTAAAGTTTTAATTCTAAAGAAAACTCAGCATCTATTATTTTTGTAATCACTAAACTATTAAGAATTTTCCAGGCCTTTGGATGGAATGGCCGAACGCGAGCGGGCGTCGCGTAACCCAATTCGATCAGGTAATGGAAAGAAAGCCTTTTTTAAAGATATTCAATAAAGATTAAGTCAATAACGTCAACAGTATGATTTTCAGCTAAATTCTTTTTTTGTTTTATTAGGCTCAGGCTTAGGGCGGAGATTCTTGACTAAAGCTCCGAGTAATAGATCATAATAACCGTAAATAGATCAGTTGAACCAGTTAGTTCGCTTAGAATTTAGATCAGTTGAACCAGTTAGTTCAACCTTGGTTTTGTCTAGGTTTTGCTTATCAAAGTCTTGAAGTCATCAATCAATCAAACTCAAAATTTCGCAAGAAAGTTCAGAAAGCTTTAAAGCTTTAAAGCATTAAAGCTACAAATAGAAGAAAGATATTTAATTAAGATAAATATGGAATTTCCAGCTGGGGCGTCAGAAGGGACACCGCAATGGACGGTCACCCGGCGCGAGCATACAGCCACCTCGCCGCCTCCACCGCTCGCCGAACAAAGAAATGATGGGGATTCTGGTAGGGGAGATTTGAGTTTTCATTCAATCAGTTAATTCGGTCAACTATCCCATAACTGCTCATGAATGCTATTCAAATCATTTAGTAGTCGATCCTGGCAGGCTTAAACCAAGACAGCTATCTTTACCGTACTGTAGCCACTATTAATATGAAATTCATATTGTAAAACTTTTAACGGAGGTTCTTGACTAAAGCTCCGAGTAATAGATCATAGCAACCGTAAATAGATCAGTTGAAACAGTTAGTTCTTCTTATCGAGCTTGCTTCTTATCGAGCTTGCTTCTTATCGAGCTTGCTTCTTATCGAGCTTGTCAGTATTCCCAGTTTTCTAGACTCAAAGCCTTTTGCAGGACCGTTTCACACACGCACGGTGACGACAACGGAACGCGTGCAGATACTGCAGATGCCCGTGCCGATCTCCGAGGGAGAGACCGCACCGGCTCTGCTGCTCGCGCTCTCTTCGCCGAATGGGAACACCACACAGGTGCGTTGAAAATGTTAGCGGTAGATTTGGGTTATGGTATAAAATTATGATAGGGATAAAGATAACAGCACCTAAAGGATACTGAGGACTAAAGTGGTGGCACAGGAAGATGATAAGATAACGAAGAGACAAGGGTACTGTACTAGTAGAATAAATCTGTTGATGTAAAAGTACAGTAAGCTGTGCTGAGATGTTGTACCAGTATTGGGTGGAAATGAGCAAGTGATACTGTATCAAAATACTAATACAGTATCAGTAAAGTTTCTTTGATCATTTCCCTTTCAGTCGGTTTCTTCGACGGTGACAACGTTGCGAAACGAGGGAACACCGTTAATTGGCGGAATGACGGCGAGTGGAGTCCCGCTCTACAATGGGATTCACATGAATCGGTTTGATTTCGAGGAACAAAGGGTTTACCAGGGCATGTGTTAGAGAGCCAGTTCCAGATCTGGCCTTAAAACAGTCGGGACTCGAACCAGCCGAGCTCTCGCTTATTGAGCTTTCGCATCCAAATCCCACCATTCCCCCAATCGCATCCCAATCCTTGTCTTCTTTCTAGAGACACTCGCCAAACGACAACCGTTATCACCACAACCACCACCACGTATCGGGTGGTCGAATTGACCGACTCGGACTCGATGACGAGCTCCGGGGAATTCGAGAGAGATTTCGAGGTAACTTTTTTGATTTCTTTTTTTAGGGGACATTATTCAAAAATTCTCAATTCCATATCAAAATCCGCTTCCAGATGATCAGCCCTGGTTCACCGGCAGAGGACCAGACGTTGACAATCGATATCCCCCTTGGAACTGTCCCACCGTCGACCGTGCACTCGCAACAGCAAATTAGTGAGCCGAGGTGGGACTGACTTATCCTCTCAAATTTCTCAATCATGCCCAATAGGCCACCGTACTCTCGTCGCTAAACCATTCTCTAAAAAATGCCCCTTTTCTCGACTACCGTAATCTTGGCCTCCGTTTTTATTCAATCCTACTTTTTGTATCGTTCGATATCTTTGTGAACACTCTAAAAGCGAACACAAAAGAAGATAGATTAGATAAAACTAAAGACAAGGTTCCTTACGGTAGTCGAGAAAAAGAAGAAACATGGCGCGAGTGCGGCAGCCAAAATGTCAAGTGATAAATGGACCATAACTTGGGTCCCCTTTGATCGATAAAGGATACTGAACACTTTTGATAGGGTCCCTTTTGATCGATAAAAGATACTGAACACTTGTCACCAAAGTCCTGAGCTTCTAAAATGGAATCATTCAGATACCTCATAGTCGGAAAAACGGAATCTTCAACACCGGGCTCTCCGAGCAAAAAAAACATCAACATCGAACTCGACATTGCACCCATCGAAGGAGAAGAAAAAGATGAACAGTTTGAGGTGTTGAAAGAAAAGACATTTTGATCTAAATTTCCATTTAGGTTATTGACTATACGATCAGCCCGGCCGAGAGCATGTACGTCGAAGATCAAGTGGCCTCGACGAGCAGAAGTGGAGAACTGGTTGAAATGCCCTTGCGCCACATGGTTGACGTCTACCATCCCGGAACTAGTGACACAGTTGAAGTCGACACCACCATTGAGTATGACGCGGTGTTTGACGAAGAAGAGACGGTTATCCCGGATAGGGCCAACGCCAGCGGGTCATTTCGAGCAGGGAAAACCCGAAAGAGATCGTTTGAACAGTTGATGCGAATGAGTCACTCTGAAGTTGGAGAGAAAGAGAAGGGACCAAGCTTCACTGACAAATTGGCTGGCCTCTTCAAGAAAGGTCCAGCCCATCTCGACTATCCAGTCTCCGAAAGCTACGAGGGTCCACTCGATGACACGAACCGAGCCTACGACATTGACGGCCACCCATTGAGCACTCACGTCTCTGTCTACCACAGTGGAAGATCCGATGAACCAGTCACGGTTGTCCACGAAGAGAAATCCGAAGTTGGAGAGAAAGAGAAGGGACCAAGCTTCACTGACAAATTGGCTGGCCTCTTCAAGAAAGGTCCAGCCCATCTCGACTATCCAGTCTCCGAAAGCTACGAGGGTCCACTCGATGACACGAACCGAGCCTACGACATTGACGGCCACCCATTGAGCACTCACGTCTCTGTCTACCACAGTGGAAGATCCGATGAACCAGCCACGGTTGTCCACGAAGAGAAATCCGAAGTTGGAGAGAAAGAGAAGGGACCAAGCTTCACTGACAAATTGGCTGGCCTCTTCAAGAAAGGTCCAGCCCATCTCGACTATCCAGTCTCCGAAAGCTACGAGGGTCCACTCGATGACACGAACCGAGCCTACGACATTGACGGCCACCCATTGAGCACTCACGTCTCTGTCTACCACAGTGGAAGATCCGATGAACCAGTCACGGTTGTCCACGAAGAGAAATCCGAAGTTGGAGAGAAAGAGAAGGGACCAAGCTTCACTGACAAATTGGCTGGCCTCTTCAAGAAAGGTCCAGCCCATCTCGACTATCCAGTCTCCGAAAGCTACGAGGGTCCACTCGATGACACGAACCGAGCCTACGACATTGACGGCCACCCATTGAGCACTCACGTCTCTGTCTACCACAGTGGAAGATCCGATGAACCAGTCACGGTTGTCCACGAAGAGAAATCCGAAGTTGGAGAGAAAGAGAAGGGACCAAGCTTCACTGACAAATTGGCTGGCCTCTTCAAGAAAGGTCCAGCCCATCTCGACTATCCAGTCTCCGAAAGCTACGAGGGTCCACTCGATGACACGAACCGAGCCTACGACATTGACGGCCACCCATTGAGCACTCACGTCTCTGTCTACCACAGTGGAAGATCCGATGAACCAGTCACGGTTGTCCACGAAGAGAAATCCGAAGTTGGAGAGAAAGAGAAGGGACCAAGCTTCACTGACAAATTGGCTGGCCTCTTCAAGAAAGGTCCAGCCCATCTCGACTATCCAGTCTCCGAAAGCTACGAGGGTCCACTCGATGACACGAACCGAGCCTACGACATTGACGGCCACCCATTGAGCACTCACGTCTCTGTCTACCACAGTGGAAGATCCGATGAACCAGTCACGGTTGTCCACGAAGAGAAATCCGAAGTTGGAGAGAAAGAGAAGGGACCAAGCTTCACTGACAAATTGGCTGGCCTCTTCAAGAAAGGTCCAGCCCATCTCGACTATCCAGTCTCCGAAAGCTACGAGGGTCCACTCGATGACACGAACCGAGCCTACGACATTGACGGCCACCCATTGAGCACTCACGTCTCTGTCTACCACAGTGGAAGATCCGATGAACCAGTCACGGTTGTCCACGAAGAGAAATCCGAAGTTGGAGAGAAAGAGAAGGGACCAAGCTTCACTGACAAATTGGCTGGCCTCTTCAAGAAAGGTCCAGCCCATCTCGACTATCCAGTCTCCGAAAGCTACGAGGGTCCACTCGATGACACGAACCGAGCCTACGACATTGACGGCCACCCATTGAGCACTCACGTCTCTGTCTACCACAGTGGAAGATCCGATGAACCAGTCACGGTTGTCCACGAAGAGAAATCCGAAGTTGGAGAGAAAGAGAAGGGACCAAGCTTCACTGACAAATTGGCTGGCCTCTTCAAGAAAGGTCCAGCCCATCTCGACTATCCAGTCTCCGAAAGCTACGAGGGTCCACTCGATGACACGAACCGAGCCTACGACATTGACGGCCACCCATTGAGCACTCACGTCTCTGTCTACCACAGTGGAAGATCCGATGAACCAGTCACGGTTGTCCACGAAGAGAAATCCGAAGTTGGAGAGAAAGAGAAGGGACCAAGCTTCACTGACAAATTGGCTGGCCTCTTCAAGAAAGGTCCAGCCCATCTCGACTATCCAGTCTCCGAAAGCTACGAGGGTCCACTCGATGACACGAACCGAGCCTACGACATTGACGGCCACCCATTGAGCACTCACGTCTCTGTCTACCACAGTGGAAGATCCGATGAACCAGTCACGGTTGTCCACGAAGAGAAATCCGAAGTTGGAGAGAAAGAGAAGGGACCAAGCTTCACTGACAAATTGGCTGGCCTCTTCAAGAAAGGTCCAGCCCATCTCGACTATCCAGTCTCCGAAAGCTACGAGGGTCCACTCGATGACACGAACCGAGCCTACGACATTGACGGCCACCCATTGAGCACTCACGTCTCTGTCTACCACAGTGGAAGATCCGATGAACCAGTCACGGTTGTCCACGAAGAGAAATCCGAAGTTGGAGAGAAAGAGAAGGGACCAAGCTTCACTGACAAATTGGCTGGCCTCTTCAAGAAAGGTCCAGCCCATCTCGACTATCCAGTCTCCGAAAGCTACGAGGGTCCACTCGATGACACGAACCGAGCCTACGACATTGACGGCCACCCATTGAGCACTCACGTCTCTGTCTACCACAGTGGAAGATCCGATGAACCAGTCACGGTTGTCCACGAAGAGAAATCCGAAGTTGGAGAGAAAGAGAAGGGACCAAGCTTCACTGACAAATTGGCTGGCCTCTTCAAGAAAGGTCCAGCCCATCTCGACTATCCAGTCTCCGAAAGCTACGAGGGTCCACTCGATGACACGAACCGAGCCTACGACATTGACGGCCACCCATTGAGCACTCACGTCTCTGTCTACCACAGTGGAAGATCCGATGAACCAGTCACGGTTGTCCACGAAGAGAAATCCGAAGTTGGAGAGAAAGAGAAGGGACCAAGCTTCACTGACAAATTGGCTGGCCTCTTCAAGAAAGGTCCAGCCCATCTCGACTATCCAGTCTCCGAAAGCTACGAGGGTCCACTCGATGACACGAACCGAGCCTACGACATTGACGGCCACCCATTGAGCACTCACGTCTCTGTCTACCACAGTGGAAGATCCGATGAACCAGTCACGGTTGTCCACGAAGAGAAATCCGAAGTTGGAGAGAAAGAGAAGGGACCAAGCTTCACTGACAAATTGGCTGGCCTCTTCAAGAAAGGTCCAGCCCATCTCGACTATCCAGTCTCCGAAAGCTACGAGGGTCCACTCGATGACACGAACCGAGCCTACGACATTGACGGCCACCCATTGAGCACTCACGTCTCTGTCTACCACAGTGGAAGATCCGATGAACCAGTCACGGTTGTCCACGAAGAGAAATCCGAAGTTGGAGAGAAAGAGAAGGGACCAAGCTTCACTGACAAATTGGCTGGCCTCTTCAAGAAAGGTCCAGCCCATCTCGACTATCCAGTCTCCGAAAGCTACGAGGGTCCACTCGATGACACGAACCGAGCCTACGACATTGACGGCCACCCATTGAGCACTCACGTCTCTGTCTACCACAGTGGAAGATCCGATGAACCAGTCACGGTTGTCCACGAAGAGAAATCCGAAGTTGGAGAGAAAGAGAAGGGACCAAGCTTCACTGACAAATTGGCTGGCCTCTTCAAGAAAGGTCCAGCCCATCTCGACTATCCAGTCTCCGAAAGCTACGAGGGTCCACTCGATGACACGAACCGAGCCTACGACATTGACGGCCACCCATTGAGCACTCACGTCTCTGTCTACCACAGTGGAAGATCCGATGAACCAGTCACGGTTGTCCACGAAGAGAAATCCGAAGTTGGAGAGAAAGAGAAGGGACCAAGCTTCACTGACAAATTGGCTGGCCTCTTCAAGAAAGGTCCAGCCCATCTCGACTATCCAGTCTCCGAAAGCTACGAGGGTCCACTCGATGACACGAACCGAGCCTACGACATTGACGGCCACCCATTGAGCACTCACGTCTCTGTCTACCACAGTGGAAGATCCGATGAACCAGTCACGGTTGTCCACGAAGAGAAATCCGAAGTTGGAGAGAAAGAGAAGGGACCAAGCTTCACTGACAAATTGGCTGGCCTCTTCAAGAAAGGTCCAGCCCATCTCGACTATCCAGTCTCCGAAAGCTACGAGGGTCCACTCGATGACACGAACCGAGCCTACGACATTGACGGCCACCCATTGAGCACTCACGTCTCTGTCTACCACAGTGGAAGATCCGATGAACCAGTCACGGTTGTCCACGAAGAGAAATCCGAAGTTGGAGAGAAAGAGAAGGGACCAAGCTTCACTGACAAATTGGCTGGCCTCTTCAAGAAAGGTCCAGCCCATCTCGACTATCCAGTCTCCGAAAGCTACGAGGGTCCACTCGATGACACGAACCGAGCCTACGACATTGACGGCCACCCATTGAGCACTCACGTCTCTGTCTACCACAGTGGAAGATCCGATGAACCAGTCACGGTTGTCCACGAAGAGAAATCCGAAGTTGGAGAGAAAGAGAAGGGACCAAGCTTCACTGACAAATTGGCTGGCCTCTTCAAGAAAGGTCCAGCCCATCTCGACTATCCAGTCTCCGAAAGCTACGAGGGTCCACTCGATGACACGAACCGAGCCTACGACATTGACGGCCACCCATTGAGCACTCACGTCTCTGTCTACCACAGTGGAAGATCCGATGAACCAGTCACGGTTGTCCACGAAGAGAAATCCGAAGTTGGAGAGAAAGAGAAGGGACCAAGCTTCACTGACAAATTGGCTGGCCTCTTCAAGAAAGGTCCAGCCCATCTCGACTATCCAGTCTCCGAAAGCTACGAGGGTCCACTCGATGACACGAACCGAGCCTACGACATTGACGGCCACCCATTGAGCACTCACGTCTCTGTCTACCACAGTGGAAGATCC